ATTATCATCACTAGGTATTGTTGTTACTTATTTTTTTTAACCTTTATTTCGTATTTCTTATTCTAATTTGTTATTTTTCTCGTCTTAATTTTTTTCTTCCTTCTTCTTTTTTTTTTTTTTAATTATCAATCGATTTCAAATGAATGATTATTGCTGTTAGAAATGATGTTTGAAGTACAATCAACAAATGGATTAGTTTGTTTTCAACTAAACTATTCGTTGCTTTTGTTTGATTAGTTTTAAGTCATTGAGGAATGAATGAATAGATCAATTTTTGCTTAAAATTTTTTCAAGTAACACATTCTGATATCTAATTGCGTTATTATTATTACCATGATGAATCATCATGATAATAATGATTGTTAAATTGCATCATTTAAAATTGGACTACAATTGTTAAATGTGATTCGTTGCTAATATTTTTAATTGAATTGATCAAAGGTTTAATATCCATTCTGAATTGATATCAATTCAGCAATGGATATCACTTCATATATCGAAATGAATCATTGAAAAGAATATAATTACAGCGTATTGATTAGTTACAGGTTCTCATCAATATCTTCAAATTGCAAGCTCCTATCAATGTTTCTAAATTATAGGTCCTTATCAATGTTTTCAAATTACAGGTTTTTATCAGTGTTTTCAAGTTACACGTTCTTATCAATGTTTTCAAGTTACACGTCCTTATCAATGTTTTTAATCTATTTAGTCATGAATATTATGTTACTGAATCATGTAATTTGTGTAAAATATATTTCAGTATGATTTAATAATGAAAGCTGCTAATAGTTTAAATTTTTGCTTATTAATTACCTTTTTAATTGCTATTGGATTTTATCATTTTATCACTTGACAATGCTAAAATTACCTTATCAATTATAAGCTATTATTTTTTTATCAATTTAATCATTTTATAATTTATTATTTGACTAATATATTTATAATGATCAGTCATTAATTTGATATTAAATATTGCACAAAGTCTAGATTGTCTATTTAATTATGAAATTTGCTTAAAATGTCCCCATATTTTTACGTAATTGTTTTATCATTATCATGCGACATTTTTATTTGACGTATAACACGTAATAAATCTTAAGTTACACTTTTTTTTTTAAATACACGAATGTTTCCATGTTAAATTTTCTGTAGATGAATATTAAAATGAATATTGCATTATTCTTATTTCTAACAATACTTGGTATTTGTAATGGAATGCGACTTCAAGCGGTACGAGTTAAAGGTCAATTAAAGTGTGGTGACAAACCAGCAGCAAATGTTAAGGTTAAACTATGGGATGAAGATGATGGTTAGAATTTTTCAATTAAATCTATTGCGAATTTACTCTAAATTATGCTTAACGATAGATTAGAGATATTATGATTAATTATTTAAGATTTTTTTTTTTTGCTAAATTATTATATTAAAGTATATATAAGTAATGAATAAATTTTAGGGCCAGATCCGGATGATGTATTGGATGAAAATGAAACAGATAGAAGTGGTAATTTTGATCTTCAAGGTAGTACTCGAGAATTGACAAGTATTGATCCAGTACTTAAAATTTATCATGATTGTGATGATGGTATTAAAGTAAGCAATTTTATGATTAATAAATTTTGCACAAATTTATGTTTCCGTACAAAACAAAAAAGGAAATGCTAAATTTTCATTTTAACCTAATATATAAGAGAAACGTGGTCGATTTTAAAAGTATACGTAAAAGATTACGTGATATAGTAATGTTAATTAGTATGGTGACAATATTTTCAAAAAAGGGACATAATCTATTTGAAAAGTATACGTTAAAGGTGAAACGATATAGTAATGCCTTAAATAGATATAATATTATAGATATTATGATTAATTATTTAAGATTTTTTCTTCTTTGCTAAATTACTATATTAAAGTATATGTAAGTAATGGATAAATTTCAGGACCAGATCCGGATTAGACTTTTTTTGAATTGGACTTTTTATGAATTGGACTTTTTTTTTTCATCAATAATTTAATATTTGAATTTAATTTGCAAATAATTGTTACAGTAATTTTTTAAATATTTAATTTTAGCCTGGTAAAAGGAAGGTTAAACTACGTATACCGGGACAATATATTGCTGCTGGTTCTACTGCAAGAAAAGCTTTCGATGTTGGTGTACTAAATTTGGAGACAATATTTCCAGAAGAGGAACGTGACCTTCTTTAAAAGTAAACATGGAAGATGACACGATATAGCATTGTTAGAAGTATCGTGATAAAATGAACTAATTGTGATTATTTCAAAAAAAAAGAAATTGATAATTATAGTAAATTGTGTATTCTTTAAAATATAATAAATTTTTCTTTCATACTTTTATGTGTAATTTTTGTTTTGTATTTAATATTTTATGGTTTTTTACACCATACCATATTCATTTTATTCATTAATAATTAAAATAATTTAAAATTTTTAAAAAATACTTTTATAATTAGTGAGCATTTTTCTTTGACATCCTTTTAATGTGTTATTATTTTCGTTTTTTTCTTTTTTTTTTAAGTTATAATTAAATGTTGTGGTTGAAATCTTCAAAGTGTAATTGAACTTTTCAAATAATTGCATGAATTTTAATAATTAAAACCAAATTAAATCATCTTAGATTGATTATTTTATCATAAATTCAATATTTTAACATTCAGTTATATCAGTAAGATTTTTTGATCAATATATTTAACAAGTTATAAAATTCATTACTTATATTTCATGTAAACAAAAATTTTAGCATCAAAATAATTGAATCACTAAAATATTGAAACTAGTAATTATTTTCAAAAGTTGCCGATAGCAAATTATTTGAGTTATTGGAAGGGTACGTAAACAGAATCAACCTTTTGTTAGATATATCAACAACACCTGATACCTTCCTGCTAAGCTTCAATTACAATCTTTTAATCCTTGTTTACATGCCAATCATACGAAATATGAGAAATTATCAAAATTGAAATGAAATTATCATATTTAGTTATTTTTAAGGTTTGATAATTTATTAAACTAATTTAACACATTTATTTATTCCAACCAAAATTTGTGAAATTTATCATTTATCTTAACAGTTACTTAATACTGTCGTTGTTTGCCTTATTAAATTTTATTTAGTTTATTGTAGAAAAAAAGCGAAATCATTTTTAATTCATTAAAAATATTTTTGTATCTTCCATTAATAAATTTAGATAACGATATATTAATGCAAATAAATGATCCAGTTTATGTAAATAAATGATCCGGTAAATCCGGATAAGTTATTGGAGATTTCACTGGATTAAATACTTTACTGTATTTAATTATAACAAATTAATAATGTAAACAGTTAACATAAGAGTTACACTTTCAAACCTTCTAATCAAAAAATAGAAAATAGTAGAAAATAGCTTAGATTATAATATATTTGTAGAAACATTATAAATGATCCAGTTATTCCGGATAAGTTTTTTAAATATTATGAATGATCCAGTCATTCCGGATAAGTTTTTTTTTAATATTTTACTGGATTAAATATTTTAGAATGCATTTTTGCTTACTGCTCGTTATACTTTCTATTGCGACATTCTCGACAGCTGTGAGACAACAAGCTGTTGCAATCAAAGGTAAACTATTATGTGGTAGTGCACCTGCACGAAATGTTCGAGTGAAACTTTGGGACGAAGATTCTGGTATATTTTATTTATTCAATTTATGAATAATCTTTTTCAAAATTGAAACATTGTAAACATTCATTTTGTTTATAAAAACTAAAAATTTATAATCAATAATTTGTGGGCAATTTTTTTCAGGACCTGATCCGGATGATCTTATAGCACAAGGATACACCGATGAACAAGGTATGTTTATGCTGGAAGGTGATACTGCTGAATTAACTACAATTGATCCGGTATTTAAAGTATATCATGATTGCAATGATAGTCTAAAGGTTGTCAATTTCTTTTTCCTTTTTTTTTTTGCTTAATTTTAATTAATCATTTAAATTTAGGTAACATTATTATTATTGTTTGATATTTGATGAAAAAGAAAAATGGGCAACATTAATAGTGAATCGAATGTTGTTATCTTAATTTCTTATAATTAAATTTATTAATTTTTTCAACTTTTCATTAATTTACACTTTTTCCTTAATTTTTTTTTTTTTTTAGGTAGGACAACGAAAACTGAAATTCAAAATTCCATCCAGTTATATAACGGAAGGTAAAAAAGCTAAGAAGGTGTTTGATATTGGTGTCTTAAATTTGGAAACAATATTTCCGGTTTGATTTTAAATTTTCAAAAAATATTTCAATTAGGATAGGAAAATGCATCACGAGACTATTGATTGTCAAAACGGATCGATTAAATGGAATTATTTGAGTGATAAAAAGAATGATATAAATCATTTTAGGCTGAAAAATGTATTTTTAACGGATAAATTAAAAGAAATAATTTGAGTGATAAAGGGAAGTACAATAAACGGAATGTATTCTTAACAGATAGATTATACGGAATTATTGAAGAAATAAAAACAGAATCATTAACCATTTCGAATAGAAAAATATAATAGTATTGGATAGATTATATGGAATTATTTAAGAGAGACAGAAAGAATATCATAAACCTGTTCCGGTTGATGAATTATTTGTCACTTTCCTACGACACGCTGAATTATTTGCATATTTATTTAATGTTTTTTTTTTTAAAAATGACATCAAAACCATTTCATTTTAATTTCACAAAAACAAAATTTTTTATAATTTCTCTAAAATCATTCGTAGAATTTGCAAAACTTTAACTTTAGAAAAAATATTTTAGAAAAAAGAAAAGCGAAATTTATTTGTAATTTAAAAAAAAAAAGTGGTCAAAAACATTTTTTCTTAAAGTAAAATATCAAGTTGTGCTATATTTGACAAATTTTTTCACTTCATTCATTTAATTTTGAAAAAATTTTTATTACAGGATGAAGAACGTGAAATGATCCCTTCATAAATGCATGCATTACGCATGCATGTATGCATGCATGCATGTATTCATATACGCACCAATTAAATTCGACGAATGTTAATTGGAAATGGAAAAGAAAGAAAAAATTTTCTTTTTTTTTGTTGTCTTAATTTTCTCATTATTTTGTATTTATCAGTGCATAATGATAATAAAAAGTTTCTTCTTATCAATTGAATGATTAGATTTTGAATTGAAAGTTGATATGCAATATATAAAAATAAATACATGTATTCTTGTGCACACAGCATTAATTACTTCCATGTATTGATTGATGACAATAATAATAACTTTCTTAAAATAACAATTTGAGAAAATTTAATCTGCTGAAAAATTTAAATTATTCTTTAAATATTGCTAAAAGATCAAAACCATACAGTAATCTATTCCGATATTTTCAATAGTTTACAATTTTTTAAATAGAAGACGGAAAACAAAAACTGACCAAATGTTTATTGTTTTCATTAAATAAAATATTTATTCATTTCTCTATTCATGTATTTACATACATATATACTTATTTATTTATCTGTTTATTTATTTACCCATTAATCAATATATTTGTTTATTAATTTGTTTATTTATTTTTTATTTATTCACCTATTCATTTATTTATTTGTTTACTAATCCGTTTATTTGTTTATTTGCTCACTTGTCTATTTAATTACTCATTTATTTGTTTGTTTGTTCATTAATTCCTTTATTGGTTTATTTATTTATCAGTTCATTTGTTTACTTATTTACTTGCTCATTTATTTAATATATAATATTATAGGTTACAAGGAATGGAATTACAGTACAAGACATGTGATATTAGGGTATGAAATTATGCTAAAACAATTATTAGAAAATAATCATATGGTAACAATTATTTTCTGTTCTAAATTAAATACTTTTTCGTTATTTTGGTTTTAAATTTTGTACCATCCAATATTATCGAAATTATATTAGAAAATATCGGAATTAAAATGATTTGAATAATATCAATTATTTCATTTATTTTACTTTCAATCCATTTTTTTTACTCCAATTTCAAGTTTAAAAAGCCATTTAATATTAACAGAAATTATATGATAAAATATTTTATTTGAAATGAATTCCATTATTCCATTATGAGAAAGTTTAATTTGATGTCGTTTAGTCTATCCCAAAGGATTCATTGGACAGTTTTATTGCTTATGCATAAATTCTGGAAAATATGGAAGTGTTTGAATTTAATAGCAGTTTTTTTTTTTTTTTGAATACTGAAGCATTGAAGTACTTATCCAACACTCATTATTCATTTTCATTAGACTTATTTTCATAAGTTGACAAGACTTAAATGTTACATTTCTCTCCTGATAACGTGCTTTTTTTTTACCTTCATTGGATTCATTTTAATCAATTAATCACATGATAAAACTTAGCTTTTAGTTTTCGCCCTGATAATGCCTTCATTCTTTATCTTTGTCAGACTATTTCTGGTCAAAATTTAAATTAGATGACGTCAACTGATGTAGAAGACATTTGTAACAATTGAAATGGTTTAATTTACCATTTCATTTGTAGTATGTCGCATTAAAAACAATATCTTCGATTATTTCCATCCTGAATTAATTTTTGGTGGGATTCACTGCTTCAGAATCCATTTTTTTAGAATCTATCGTTTTAGAATTCATTGCCTCAGACTCCATTATCTGTTTGCTTCTTCATATTCATCATCATTATCCAATTATCATTTTTTGATAAAATGGAAGAAGCGAAAAATACCATCTCAATTTTAAGGCTATCATTTTTGGCTTAGTTATTTCGCTCTGAAATTATTTACCTTCATTGTTTTTTTTTTCCGCATCAATAAAATACATATCGTTTTCATCAAAAATTAAAATTTCGATTTAATTTTTTACCATTATTTCCAATATTGGCATTTTCTGTTGTCTTCTTGAAGTAAATATTTCTTTTATTTTATTATTATCATTAATTTTGATTATGATAAGCTGATTGTAGATAGGAAATTTTCAGCCACTACAAATTTAAATTAATTTTTTGATTTGATGGATTGCTGATCAATTGAATAAAACTCTTTTTTTAATGAATTAAGTAAATTATCAATTGTCATCAAAGTTTTAACGTTCAGAACACTGTCAAGTAATCGTAGGAAAAAAAAATGAAACTGATTGTATTGGTTGAATAAAAATAATGTATGAAAGAAAGCAAAATTCGATTATATTTTGATGTATTATTAATTTTGAGAATTTTAATGAAATATTTCAAATTTAACAAATTTTTATTTTATTTTTTGAAATCCAAATTAGCACATTTTAATTTAATGTATTTCAATCATTTCTTCTATCGTTTTTTCGTTCTTGCAACAAAAAAATTTTAATCATTTTAAATGGTATCGTGTCGATCGTATTATCCGGTAAATTAAATTCACAAAAAAACCATATGAAACGCAGTGCAAAATATTTGACGTAAAATTCCGGATCAGGAATAATATCTATATTTTGCTATTACGGTTATTTTTGAAGAAAACAGAAGAAAATAAACAAAAAAAAAAAAGAAATGAAAAATAAAAAAGAAAAGAAAAAAGAAAAATTCTTTGATGTTTACAATGGAATTTCTAGTAATTTAGTGCTTATTGGTACTTTTGAAATTTATAAAAACGATAAATATTTGAGCATTTTAGAAATATGCAAATATTTGCATAAAGATTTATGGCCAATATTTCAATGGCTAAACTTATTGCTTATGCAAATTTTATCAAACAAACCAATAGCAAATATAGGATATTTATAAATCGAAATAAAGCCATCTGTTAAAAATAGTAACCTACAACTATACATTTCGTTCACAGCATCAATCGGTCAATCGATTGATCAATCAATCAATCCATACTTATTCATTTAATAGCATCAATCAAACAACCATTCAATTAATCGATCAATCATTGGAGCATTTTTAGTTAGCATCAAAGCAAAGGAAAAAAAAAGATTTTAATATCATGTTATTTAATTTTATTATTTAAATTTTGATTAGTATCAGTCAATTAATCAAATCAATCAATCAATCACTGAAGTATTGTTATTAACAGCGGTATAGCTCAGAAAAAAAGAAATTCAATATTACATTACTTAATTTTGTTATTTTAATTTTAATCAAAATTGCTAAATTATTCTTCAACTTTTAAGTTTATTTTCATCTTACATATCTGCAATAATGCTTACTTTACATTTAATATAAAATCAATGGATAATATTAGTTTGAGTATGAAAGAATTCAAGTTTCATATTACAACAATTTTAATTGGCTATGTGGGAAAAAGCAAATTAATTTCAAATTTGATAAAATTTAATTGGTGAATTGCTTCTCTAAAAAAAAAATTTTAATTTTAAAGATAATTTGAATAGGTTACATTAGGAGAATATGATTTCCATTGTAATCATCATCATCATTATCATCATCAATTGCCGCGACATATTAATCAATGATAGCCTACCTAGATATTATTATTAATTAAGAGCTAGTTTTATTTCTCAAACACACAAAATAGTTTGAATTTCCTGAGTACTCAATGAAATAGTATATTATTTAAATTGCGGAAAGTGAATACAATAATCGTATAACGATTAAATTTCAACTTTTTTCTTTTTCTTTTTGACAAACTATTAATGGATTTAATAAAAGCATTTATTTGGATGAATAGAATACGGAAAACATTTATTGCAATCACATATCACTGATAATTTTATCAAAACTATCACTACTACTTCGATACTCTCATTGTATACATGTAATGGAATAAATTCAAATCTTTTATAATAATTTCAAATTTAACAATCATTT